ATCAAGGTACCATGTCTGTCAGCACCCGCGCCGCGCAGGAGAGAGCCCAGAACTGGCTCGTCCTACAACCGGAAGTTTCTGCCTTTGACCAATGTCTCCCCACCTCACCTTCCCCCTCCTGGTAACCACCATCTACTCTCTGCTTCTGTGACTTCCACCTTTTTAGACTCCACATAAATACATGAGCTCACGCAGTCTTTGTCTTTCTGTGCCTGGTGCATTTCTCTGAGCATAATGGCCTCCAGTTCTGTCCGTGTTGTTGTGAAAGGCAAGGTGTCCTTTTTTATCAAGGCTGAATAACAATCCTGTGTGTGCGTGTGCGTGTGTGCCACGTTTCTTTATTCACATGTCGAGGGGCACTCAGGCTGCTGCATATCTTGGCTGCTGTGAGCAGTGCTGCAGTGAGCGTGGAAGACGGTTTCTGGTGCCCGGCTGCCTCTCGGTGTTACCTTCCACGCTCCTTAGGCGGCAGGTCTCTTCTTCAGCTTTAAGCAAACTTCCTTGGCATTGACCTGGGTCCTCACATTCTTTTTTAAGGGTTTTGCACCCTGGCGTTGTTTTATCCCATGTCTTCCTCTGCATCTCTGCCTACCAGTAATCAATATCTCCTTCTCATTATAAAGGCAACCTCTGTCTATTTTGTAACCGCTGATCCTCCTATTGCTTTTAATGTGTATTGTTTTTTTATTATCTCCCGTCCACAGAGCCTGAATGTTTGCTTTCAGAGGGGTCTTTATACCCCTAAAATGTGAAAAAATAGGGGTAGTTTAATGGTGTCACGCTGTTTTACAATTAAGACCACTTTTCACAATCTCAAAGAGGTCATCAGGCCTGACACTCCCCAGGTAGAGGTTTTACATCGCAATCAAGAATTTCACGACGTGCGGCCATGCTGTTAGCTGGCGTTGGGTGGCTCTGTGGCCTTCAGCCCATCTTTAGAGGTGAGACTAGGAAAAAGCTCATGCCGCCTCTGCTTTTCTAACAACATCAAATTCAGGAGGTAGTGAGTGCATTCTGATGGTCGTTAGGACAATGGAAAATGCACGTCACAAAGCAGAAATATGGGTGTGCCAGCCAGTCATCAACCTGCGTGACAAACTGCCACAAACTCAGTGGCTTAGAGCAACAGGCAGCGTTCACTCCACAGGTCCCTGTGTTGGGACGTAGCTGTGTCCTCCACTCCAAGCCCTCCAGGGTCATAGTCAAGGTGTCGGCTGGGCTGCGTGCCCCTCTGGATGCCTGGTCCTCCTAGAAGTGCACGCCTGTGTTGCTGGAACTCGGTTCTTTGTGAGAGTAGGGGATGCGGTCTCTGTTCTCCTAAGGGTGGTCAGCCAAGGTTGCTCTCAGCTCCTACCAGGACCCTCTCTGGAGATGGCAGCTGAGCCTTTCAAGGACAGCGGGTGACTCTGCTGCCCCCCATCGCTGAGCACGGAGAAGAATGACACTTTCTGTTGAAGGGTTCACCTGATTAGGCCAGAGCCACCCAAGGTGATCTTTGTCATTTACTTAAAGTTGAGCTGATTTGGGGCCTTACTTACACCTGGAAAATTCCTTCATCTTTGTCCTAAAATGCATCCTGGCTCCCAGTCCCAACTCCCCTGCAGGTGAGAAGCCAGTCACAGGTGCCATTACCACAGCTGGCTCAGGGGGCTGCCAGTGTGTTTTCATGACAAGAAATTACTTGAAGAGACAAGCAGTCCAGCAGTGTGGGTCAAATATGTCAATTAGCATTGCAGGATTAAAAATGTTAGATCAGAAGTGTGGAGGTGAGAGAAAGAGCTCATTTTCTGGGGGTGACTTCTGAGCTGGCCTCCCCCGAGCTCTGCCTTCCGTAAGGGGACCCCCTCAGTGGGGATCAGCCCTAGCCCTAGGAGAGCTCATCCTTATTTCACAGACAAAGAAACTGGGTCTCAGCACAAATAAGACACACGCTGGAGGCTAGCAGCCCTGCCAGTGCTGGGGCCGGCGCTGGGGCTCAGGCTGCCTGCCCTCACCAAAGCTGTATGTAGGTTTCTGATGTTTAGGAGAGGGGGCATCGCCAGCCTTGGACCCTGCATGTCAGAGCTTGAGCAGGGGCCCACCTCTTCCACGTGGAGAGTGAGGGATTCTGAAGCCAACCACAGAGCAGTCTCCACACCCCTGCCACCCTTCAGTCACGTCCAAGCCTCTGATGTCCAGCCCTCACCAGCCCGGGCCTGTCTACCTCCTGTCCTCATAAAGATCAGGAGACACTTCCAATCCAGCCACCTGGTCTCTCACCCTCATGGCTCATCACACAATCCCTGCCCCAGTCCTGCCCATCAGCCAAGCCAGCCTCTGCCCCAGGCACTCGGGAGGTCTTCCCAGGGGCACCTCTGGTCATGCCCCTCCTGTGCTCATGCCTGCCAAGGCTCAGCTTTCTTTCCTGGCAACTGAGGCCTTTCTTGCTCAGATGCTCTGTGCGACTTCTCTCTCCCAGCCCCGTGTAACGGTCCTGCCTCCCTGTCATCATCCCTCCTTCCACCGACACCTCCTATTTGTCTTCCAGGGTCTGGGGTCCTCCCGGAGGATGCCCAGTGGCCTCAGGTGTTATGGGACCCCCTGCCCACTGGACACTCTTCACGACAGAGCTTGTCATGCACCCCGGAGCCCACCTGCTCCTCCAATGCCACAGCTGCCCAGCAGCTCCCGTTGCTCCAGTAGAACCATGCGGCAGGCTGGTTCTTCATACTTGAAGTCTGCTCAGGGAAGATGGGCCAGAAAAGACAGCTCCATCCCTGACCCACACCTCCATGGCTGTTCGTCAGGACTGCACTGATGTTCTAGGGGTGGGGCTGAGTGGCCAGGAGCCTGGGGGAGTGCCAGAGGCATGCAAGTCCATACCACATCCCATCACCGTGTGGACTCGCACAACGCAAGAGCAGGCTCTGGGCAGCTCACACTTCCAGGGCTCTTAGGAAATGCCTTTTAAGTTCCTTTGGGAGTAACTGGGTCTCGCTGGAGCCCCCTAGATCGGATTCAGGCAGGACTTGGGGCATCCCTTCACCTCCCTGCTCAGAAGCTTGCAGAGCTTGTCCCCTCTTGAAGGCTCTGGAAGTTCCTGCCTCTGTGAGCAGGACAGAGCCTTGCTGCCCGGCTGTGTAGACTGAGCTGTGAGGACTCAAAATCTGTTCACCGTGTAGACCAAGCTGTGAGGACTCAGAATCTGCCTGCCGTGTAGACTGAACTGTGAGGACTCAGAATCTGCCTGCCGTGTAGACTGAACTGTGAGGACTCAGAATCTGCCCGCCGTGTAGACTGAACTGTGAGGACTCAGAATCTGCCTGCCGTGTAGACTGAACTGTGAGGACTCAGAATCTGCCTGCCGTGTAGACTGAACTGTGAGGACTCAGAATCTGCCTGCTGTGTAGACTGAACTGTGAGGACTCAGAATCTGCCTGCTGTGTAGGCTGAGCTTTGAGGAGTCAGAATCTGCCTGCTGTGTAGGCTGAGCTTTGAGGAGTCAGAATCTGCCTGCTGTGTAGACTGAACTGTGAGGACTCAGAATCTGCCTGCTGTGTAGACTGAACTGTGAGGACTCAGAATCTGCCTGCTGTGTAGACTGAACTGTGAGGACTCAGAATCTGCCTGCTGTGTAGACTGAACTGTGAGGACTCAGAATCTGCCTGCTGTGTAGGCTGAGCTTTGAGGACTCAGAATCTGCCTGCCGTGTAGACTGAACTGTGAGGACTCAGAATCTGCCTGCTGTGTAGACTGAACTGTGAGGACTCAGAATCTGCCTGCTGTGTAGACTGAACTGTGAGGACTCAGCATCTTCCCCGCCGTGTAGACTGAACTGTGAGGACTCAGAATCTGCCTGCCGTGTAGACTGAACTGTGAGGACTCAGAATCTGCCTGCTGTGTAGACTGAACTGTGAGGACTCAGAATCTGCCTGCTGTGTAGACTGAACTGTGAGGACTCAGAATCTGCCTGCTGTGTAGACTGAACTGTGAGGACTCAGAATCTGCCTGCTGTGTAGGCTGAGCTTTGAGGAGTCAGAATCTGCCTGCTGTGTAGACTGAACTGTGAGGACTCAGAATCTGCCTGCCGTGTAGACTGAACTGTGAGGACTCAGAATCTGCCTGCTGTGTAGACTGAACTGTGAGGACTCAGAATCTGCCTGCCGTGTAGACTGAACTGTGAGGACTCAGAATCTGCCTGCCGTGTAGACTGAACTGTGAGGACTCAGAATCTGCCTGCTGTGTAGACTGAACTGTGAGGACTCAGAATCTGCCTGCTGTGTAGACTGAACTGTGAGGACTCAGAATCTGCCTGCCGTGTAGACTGAGCTTTGAGGAGTCAGAATCTGCCTGCCGTGTAGACTGAACTGTGAGGACTCAGAATCTGCCTGCTGTGTAGACTGAATTGTGAGGACACAGAATCTGCCTGCTGTGTAGACTGAACTGTGAGGACTCAGAATCTGCCTGCTGTGTAGGCTGAGCTTTGAGGAGTCAGAATCTGCCTGCCGTGTAGACTGAGATTTGAGGAGGAGTCAGAATCTGCCTGCCGTGTAAACTGAGCTTCGAGGAGGAGTCAGAATCTGCCTGCCATGTAGACTGAGCTTCGAGGAGGAGTCAGAATCTGCCTGCCGTGTAAACTGAGATTTGAGGAGGAGTCAGAATCTGCCTGCCGTGTAGACTGAGCTTCGAGGAGGAGTCAGAATCTGCCTGCCCCATAGACTGAGCTTTGAGGAGGAGTCAGAATCTGCCTGCTGTGTAGACTGAGCTTTGAGGAGGAGTCAGAATCTGCCTGCCCCATAGACTGAGCTTTGAAGAGGAGTCAGAATCTGCCTGCTGTGTAGACTGAGCTTTGAGTAGGAGACAGGATCTGCCTGCCGTGTGGACTGTGTCGTGAGGACTCAGAATTGCTGACCACCCAGCTGCTTGGGTTGGGAGGGGCCGTGGAGCACCGGAGGGCCTGTGAGAACCTTCCCATGGCAGCTGATGCCTGTTAATTGTAGTCATAAAACGATAAAGGGGCCTGGAGATCAATGGGTTTTATCAGGCATTGCTGCAAGCTGCAGCTGTCGACATTGATTTTCCCGGCCCCCAACCCAGACGAATAAACACACAATCCAAAAAGTGCAGCAAGACCAGCGCTGTTCCTAGACCCCAGGCCTCAGTTCTGGAGATTTCAGCCTCTTCCAAACTCCAACCTTTGCCCAAAGGAATAGGAGAGTGTGGGGAGCAGGGGATGATGGGGACAAGAGCCAGATCATCACCCAGGAGACTCTGAAAGAGCCACAGGATCAGGGTGTGGCCTCGGTTTACTCATCGGAAGAATGAGCGGATTGACGAAGATGACCTCTGAGGTTCTAGACAGCCTTACAAATTTAAAGATTTCAAAAGGCTGCTTTGTACGATGGGGGAAAAGGCAAACTCCACATAACATAAAATTAGCCCTTTTCAGGTGAACCATTCAGTGACATTGGTGCAATCCCAAAGTGTGCAGCCAGGTGCCCATCAATAGACTGATCTGTTTTTGCATAAACAGGACAGAGATTGAGCAGAGATCTGGGAAACTGAGGGAGGCATCTTGGCTGTCACCCTGGGCCCCATGGATGTCACTGTCCCCACCCTGACAGGAATGCATTCTGGAGACCTCCCACAGGTGGGAAGGCAGCAGGACCCTGTGACATGTCCTCGGCTCCACCTGCCGCCTGAGAAGACATCGCCAACCTGCTGGGGTCCCAGGTGGTGTTCAGGCCACAGCCCCCTCTCCCTCCCTTGGGTCTGCATTTACGCAGATGCTCTTGTCACCAGTCAACAACTGTGACATAAGGAGGGCTTGAGACAGTGCCAGGTCCAGGTCCTGAGAGGGCCAGAAGGAAGGAGGCAGCCAGGCCTGAAGGAACAGGAAGCCTCTGAGAGCCCCAGGACCCAGCCCAGGCAGGAGGTAGGGCCAGGCCACAGGGGACCCGCATGGCCAAGAGATCCCCATGTGTCCCGGTGGAAGGAGCCACCTCCCAGCTCACATACAGCCTGCCTGTGCGCTGTGGAGCCACATCCTTCATTTCTGCAGAGAAGCTGGGCTTTGGGGAGAATAGAAATGAGAATCCAGCACTGTGGTGGGGAGGGGGATGCAATCACACTGATGTGTCGTGTTCAGAAAGCAAAAGACAGAATCAGAAGCGGGCAGCGACCTCAAAGATTCCTCAAGGTGCTTCATCCTCATCACACTCCAGAATCTAAAACCGGATGCTGCTTCCTGTCTTTTATTTGTCTTTATGTTTATCTCCACCGCTTAGCATGAGTGGGATCTGTTAGTGTCTGCTCATTTGCTGCCTCAGTGCTGTGTCTTCTGGAGAAAGCTGTGCTTCCGTACTTACATTCTCTGAAGACATAAAAGCTATGCTTTTTCATGAGAGCTATGAAGATGGAGGTAAATAGACATGTGAGAGGGATTCCGGTCTCCGTGTTCCAGGGGCTGCATGGGCAGTTTTTGGCTCCTGAAACAACGGGAGACAGGCGTGCAGCATCTGAGGTGATTTGGGGGAGCAGTCAGTTACTCCGGGGATCATGGGAGGAGAAGGGAGGGTGGAGGGGTGCACGTGTGCAAGTCGGTGACTCATTTCCCAGGGAGGAAGTCGAGGCTGCAGAGGTCGTGCAGGTGACCGGGGCTGCTTCCCAGTGTGAGGTCTCCAAGGGCTTTTCTGAAAGGCCTGGACCGCCTCCCTCTCCTCCTCAGCCGTGGCTTCATCTGTGCAGGCTTTCTGCCGTGACCCTGGCTTCAGCAAGGGAAAGGTAATTTTTCCCTGAAGCACACGGAACGTAGTTTATGGTTGCTGCAGCGTGCGCTTCGAGAAACTCTAAATTACTGTGCTTGCCAAGACCTGCGTGCATGAATAATGGATCCAGCCCAGATGCACCAGCCTCGTGTGTGACTTCTCAAGGCGCCTCGAGAGTCTCTCAAGGGTGCTCGCCGAGGTCACAGCCTACTTGAGCTATTCTGGGAGGGGAGCAGCAGAAACCTGCAGGTGGAGAGGAAACACCATTCGTCACTGGCGTCAGCCCCCCGCCGAAGCCCCAAGAGGTGAGCTCTGAAGAGCGCAGGCCTGCCAGAGGGAAGGAGCTGGCATCTGTTCAGTGCTACTCAAGAAGCAAGGGGCACCATGGCTGTGGCTCTGCAGGCACTGTCCCATTTAATCCTCCCAAATGGCCACCAGCAGCAGGGCAGGCATGGGATCAACACTCAGAACGTTCTACCAGCTCACGGCCTTCCTTCCACGATTACATGTCATGGAAGGGGAAGGTCACTTCAAAATTAGAAAGCAGAATGTGTGGGGCTATGATGACCCGGCTCCCCTGGGAAGCGGGGAGCCTCACTTGCAGTCTCTGGCTGGGCTTGGCGACCTTGAGCTCCTCACTGGCGTTCCTGGAGCACATGGTGTCACAGTGTGGATGCTGTGCCTCAGCGCCTCTCTGCCATGTGGGCAATCCCCAGTGCTGTAAATGGAGCAAGATGTCACTGGGGGAAGGGCAAAGGCTCTGCCCCAAAGGTGGCACCGTGGGTCCTTCTCGCTCTAATTCTTGCAGACACGAGGTTGACCAGTGGCTTGGCTTGGTGTGCTATATCATCAGTGGCTAACCTGCTTTGTTCTTCCCTGGTAGTGTAAATTCAGTGGCAGTTTGGGAAAGAAAAAGGAGGTTGGCACTGTGCTCACAGTGCTGGTGAAGAGGCAGGTGCGTTGCCCTGTGCGTTCCATGTTTGCTGTTCACACACAGCCCTGGAGGCAGAGTCAGGGCCCTCAACGACGTGCAGCTCCTAACCCCTGGAAACTGCAAATATGTCACCCCGTGTGGTTAAGGGGACTTTGCAGACATTCTTATGTTACAGTCTTGAGAGGGGAGATGGTCCTGGATCAGCCAGGTGGCCCGAGGCAGTCACTGGGACCCTTAGAAGGGACACAGGCAGGAGGGTCAGTGACAGGGACGGAGAGGAGAGAGCAGAAACAGAGGCAGAAGGGACGTGGGGCAGGAACTGGGAGAGCGGCAGCCCTTCCACGCCGCCCGGAGCACTGCGCACGTCCCGGCTACACCCACGCTTTGTTCCTCAAGCACACCCCATGTTTCATAGGTGTGAGATTTGCAAAAGCTGCTTCTTTCTGCCTGGGAAACAAAGTCTCAGCTCAAGCCCCTGCTCCCTAGGGAAGCTTCCCCTCATGGCTCCCCCCGCAGAGCAGGGCCCCCACCCCACAGCATTACCACAGCCCCTGACCACACACCTGCCATCACTGCCCCTCCAGTGGCAGCCCTCCCTGTCCGTACTCACAGCCTGGCAGGCTGAGGGGTGCCTTGGGCTGTTGAGCACAGCTGTGCACACACATGAGACCCCCTTGAAGGTGGATGGCTGTGGAGGTGTCAGGAGAAAGCCAGGGGCTACCTGAAGATCTCATCTCAGAGTGCAGGAGAGCACTGTCCAGACTGCTGGGGACAAGGGCTGTCGCTCTTCACAGCCACAGGGTCCAGTGTCAGGTTGCGTGCCTGGGCTCTTTGGGAGTTCCCAGTGACCGCGGCTTCTCAGCCGGGCTGCTGTCTCAGTGAGGCTGCCTCGCCCCTGGCTCTCCTCTGGGGCTGAGCTATTCCAACAGCAGAGCACAGCCTCCAGCTCCAGTCCTGGGTGCCACGCTGGCCAGAATCCGAGCAGCAGAGGAGCTTTGAGCAAAGCTGTTGTCAGGCCACTGCGGGTGGGAGTCGGAGGTTCTCAGCTCAGGCTGCTGTCGGGAAATAGGGGACATGGAGGCAGGGGCATTGCAGTGAATCTTAACCAGGAGGCAGGACAAATGAGTGAGGTGAAAGGTTGTTTTGTGGAGGAAGCATCAGTTGCTCATATTGCCGGGAACGGGGCTGTTTGGCACTTTCGGGGTCCGAACATGGTCTTGCTGTGTCTGTGCTGACTCACGATCGCAGAGGACACCTCTGCTCAGCCCCGATGTGTGGTACAAGAGGCTGTGGCCGAGCTGGTGTCCTGCTCACTGTTTCTGCTGCACAAGAAACCCTGGGCCCACGTGTGAGCGGCAGGCATGGTCAGGGCTGCGTCTGCTCCCAGAAATGCAGGTAACGCTCCTGCTCTCAGCTGCCTCGGGAGCCCTGGTGTGCCACCTGGCCCTGCGTTGGTGGCGAGGCTCGCTCGGCTGCATTCACGCACTCCCTGGTCCTGGTGCCTCGACAACGCGGCAATGCGGGAGCGGACCCGGGCGGCTGTCATGTCTCAAGTGAGTCCGTGTTACCTTCATCAGGCTTCAGCCCAGGTGTGCGTCTCAACCTTCAGCAAACAATGGTATCCAGAGAGAAACCGGGCGTCGGAAAATCTAGAAAAGCATCAAGGAAAGCTGGGTTTGTTGAAAACAAATGATTTCAATGAGAAAAGAAATAGAGAGTCAGAGAGAGGAAAAGTCAGGAAGACAGACCCAGAGAGAGAGAGAGAGAGAGAGCACGCTATGGTATATTAATTTCTGATGCAGTGCCTTAAAAGCAAGGTTTAACTAAAGAAAATTATAAATTAAAATATTTTCTGTACGGTTACAGAGAATAAATCTTACTACTTATTAAGTTTTATTTATCCTCATTTCAGCTTTTTAATTTATAGGCTACTTAAGCCCAGCTAGTAATAAGAGTCAAAAGAACGTTACCTCTTAAGACAACCTTGCATGCAGATTGTTTTATACGAGCCCAGGGAATTAGAAATTTTTTTGGAGCATGTTTCTTTTGCTCAGATTTGTAAGCTGTATTAGGAAGCATATAAAACAGTACACATTTTTCGAATACCATGAAGTAAAGAAGCAGGCTGCTGCTGGAGGCATTTGAACCCCATCTGATACAACTGGTGACCTTCCCAGGGTCCGCCTGCCACTGTGGGGAGGTGAGGTTGGCACAGCTTTCTGAGTAGCCGGGGCTTCCGAGCACCAGGCCAAGCCAGAAGCAGCAGCCCCATGGTCTGCAAAGCCCCCACTAGGGGAAAAACGGGCAGAGACAGAGCTGAGAGGCCCTGAGGCAGAGACCTGAGGCCACCAGGCAGACGCGGGACTCACCGTCCTCGGGGAACAAGGGCAGCCCAGGCTGCAGGGAACCAACCGACACACAAAGAGGCCAAACCTCAGCCCCTCACCACCGGGAAATGGGCTTCTACGCAGCGGCACCTGGATTGCAGCAGGCCCCCTAGCACAAGACCCAGTCATGCCACGTGAAATTCAGTGGCCACGGTGCTGAGCAGGCATGGCACTGGCACGACGCTGGGCTCCCTGCTGTCACATTTCCTTACGCCGAGCAACTTGGCTTCTGGCAGAGGAGGCACCTTGGCCTTAAGAGGCTGAGTCCTGACTTGCCAGCTCTGAATGCCCACCAGCCGCTATGTCTGCGCCAGGCGCTCGGCCCCTTGCTAGAGGCCGGTTGTGCTCTGGGGTTTGGTCTCTCTTTCTGTAACTGGGTAGGGATCCAGGGTCCAATCCAGCCCCTCTGGGGAGTAGGCATCAGGGAATGTCAGGTCATTCTGCCTCATGCTCCGGAAGTTTGGACCACAGTAACCAAGTCAGGCTGGATGACCTTGCCAGGGTCAGTGCCAGCCCACCTGGGCCGCCGGAAGTCCTGGAGCACCAGAGCTTCAGCAGCTGGAGAAGGGCCTCCTCAGCCTGTGGACCCCTGGGCTGTCTCCCCTTGTCTGACTCAGTGCCAACTTGAGAGCATCTGGTGCCAGCAGAGGAACTGCGGGAGGCCCAGCCATGGCACAGGGGACCCAGCGGAGGCCCTGGCAGGCCTTGAGGTAGAACCTGTCCAGGGGGCACCCTTAATTTCTTGACTTACTCTTACATAACCACCAGTGACAGCACCCAACAACCATACAACAAACACAAGCACATCACCACAACACACAACCACACAGCAGAACAGCCACACAGCAGAATAAAACACAACCACAGACCCACACACCACCACAACGCAGCATCACAACACAACCACACAGCAGAACAGCCATACCACAGAATAAAACACAATCACAGACCCACACACCACCACAACACAGCATCACAACACACAACCACACAGCAGAACAGCCACACAGCAGAATAAAACACAATCACAGACACACACACCACCACCACAACACAGCATCACAACACAACCACACAGAAGAACAGCCACACAACAGAATAAAACACAACCACAGACCCACACACCACCACAACACAGCATCACAACACAACCACACAGCAGAACAGCCACACAGCAGAATAAAACACAATCACAGACCCACACACCACAACACAGCATCACAACACAACCACACAGCAGAACAGCCACACAGCAGAATAAAACACAATCACAGACCCACTCACCACCACAACGCAGCATCACAACACAACCACACAGCAGAACAGCCACACCACAGAACAAAACACAACCACAGACTCAGACACCACCACCACAACACAGCACAGCATCACAACACAACCACACAGCAGAACAGCCACACAGCAGAATAAAACACAACCACAGACCCACACACCACCACAACACAGCATCACAACACACAACCACACAGCAGAACAGCCACACAGCAGAATAAAACACAATCACAGACCCACACACCACCACAACACAGCATCACAATACAACCACACAGCAGAACAGCCACACAGCAGAATAAAACACAATCACAGACCCACACACCACAACACAGCATCACAACACAACCACACAGCAGAACACCCACACAGCAGAATAAAACACAATCACAGACCCACACACCACCACCACAACACAGCATCACAACACAACCACACAGCAGAACACCCACACAGCAGAATAAAACACAATCACAGACCCACACACCACCACCACAACACAGCATCACAACACAACCACACAGCAGAACAGCCACACAGCAGAATAAAACACAATCACAGACCCACACACCACAACACAGCATCACAACACAACCACACAGCAGAACAGCCACACAGCAGAATAAAACACAACCACAGACCCACACAACCAACACCACAACACAGCATCACAACACAACCACACAGCAGAACAGCCACACAACAGAACAAAACACAACCACAGACCCACACACCACCACAACACAGCATCACAACACAACCACACAGCAGAACAGCCACACAACAGAATAAAACACAACCACAGACCCACACACCACCACAACACAGCATCACAACACAACCACACAGCAGAACAGCCACACAGCAGAATAAAACACAACCACAGACCCACACAACCAACACCACAACACAGCATCACAACACAACCACACAGCAGAACAGCCACACAGAAGAATAAAACACAACCACAGACCCACACAACCAACACCACAACACAACATCACAACACAACCACATAGCAGAACAACTACACCACAGAACAAAACACAACCACAGACCCACACACCACCACCACAACATAGCATCACAACACAACCACAGACCCACACCACAACACAGCATCACAACACAACCACACAGCAGAACAGCCACAATACAGAACAAAACATAACCACAGACCCACACCACCACCACCACACAGCGTCACAACACAACCACACAGCAGAACAACCACATAACAGAGCACAACACAACCACACACCAACACCACAACACAGCATCACAACACAATCACTCAGCAGAACAACACAACAGAACACAACCACAGACCCACACCACCACCACCACACCACAACACAGCATCACAACACAACCACACAGCAGAACAGCTACACAGCAGAACAAAACACAATCATGGACCCACACACCACCACAACACCACAACACAGCATCACAACACAACCACACAGCAGAACAGCCACACAACAGAAAAAACACAACCACAGACCCACACACCACCACAACACAGCATCACAACACAACCAAACAGCAGAACAGCTACACAGCAGAACAAAACACAATCATGGACCCACACACCACCACAACACAACCACACAGCACATCAACCATACAACAGAACAAAACACAACCACAGACCCACACCATCACGCAATACCACAACAACACAACTGTACAATAGCAGAACACCAATAACACAACACTACGCAGCAGCAGGGCGTCCCTGCCCAGCATCTCCCCAGCTGCTCTGAGGGCTGTGGCCCGGCTCTTCCCCTCCTCAGTCTTCCACAGGAATTCCTGCCCACCCTGGCCTCATCTGAGACTCAGTGCAGTAGAAGCAGGAGGAGACAGGCAGGAGGTGCAAGCTGAAAGCCGCCAATGGCCGGGCGGGAGGACAACTTGAGGTGGAAGCGGACAGAGCTCAGCTCAGGAGCAGGCGTGGCTTGAGAGGGGCAAGGGGCTGCACCCTGTCCTCCAGGCTCAGAGCCCCTGGGACCGGGTCCTCTGAGTGCAGCTCTTGCCATCGCATCCCTCCACCTCTGGGACCCCTGTCCACCATTCCAGCCACCACCTCCCTCCACCTCTGGGCCCCCTGTCCACCGTTCCACCCACCGCCTCTCTCCACCTCTGGGCACCCTGTCCATCCTTCCACCCACTGCCTTCAGAAAACCTGGTGTCCTCAGCTGCCTGCACCCTGTGTGCTCCCAGATCCCACGTGGCTCCACACAGCCCTCGGCTGTTCTGCCTGACATGGAAAGGACAAAGGCTGAACACAGTAGCAGCGCCTGCACGGCACAGGCTGTGGCATTTACAGAACTCATCCACACGTTGCCTGAGTGGCTCCTGTACAACCTTGTGAGAAAGGACACTGATGAGAGGCCACGGGCTGGCCAGCATCCACGCTCTCCCCTCCTTCCTGGGCACACAGCTGGGCTTGGGTCTCCAGCCCCCTTGGGCTGCAAGATGGAGCTCTGGTCACCAGAACGTGAGCAGAGAGCCCAGCCCCACTTCCAGGCATGCACCTGAGAGGCTCCTTTGAGCCTGAATTTCCTCCCCTGTGGGGTGACGGGGGAACCCTCTGAGGGTCGGCGGGAGGAGCCACTGCACGGAAGGGCCAGGGTTGGCCCAGAGCCCTGCTGACCACCATTCTCCTGTGATGTGAGAAACGGTGCGGCAGGGAGAAGGAGGCCTCCGGGGACACACCGTGAGGCCTGCAGGGTCAGGCGGCCTCACCTTCATTCTGTTCCCAGGGCACCTGCTTGCTCAGTTCAGTCCAGCCGTGGTGAGAAACAGACTTCAGTGGTGCTAAGCCACTGCAATCGGGGTTCCTATAGGAGTCATACCCCGTCCTGACTCATGCAGGCGGATGGGTATTTTGTGTTTCCTTTTCCAAAGTGAGGAAACCATGCCTATAAAGCTGTATAATGTACCTGAAGTCACACAGCAGAAAA